GGCCGCAGGTCCGACTGCCTCATCAAGACCATCCGCGCCGAGGGCTACTTCGGCATGTACCGGGGTGAGGCTCGGGGGCGGTCCGGGGGTGCAGTGGGAGGCAGGGCAGGCGGTGGCCGGGGGGCTGTGCCCGTGCGGGCCTGGGTCTCTGGCGGTGACCTCCTCGGCCCCTCCCTCGGTGCCAGCCCCACCCCCACTGGAGCCAGCACTTGGCACAGCAGGGTCTGTGTCCCCCGTGGAGGCTGCAGCCCCTCCCCTGCCTCTGGGACCGGCAAGACCATCTGTGCCTGGAGGTGGGAGGGGGGCCTTACGGCAAAGCAGCTTAGAGCACTGTCCGGCCGGATTTGGCCGGGAGCCACGCAGCCCTGAGCTGGGGGATCCAGCTGCCTCCCCGAGCTCTGGCCCACCACAGGCCACATGCTCTGTGTCCTCTCGCCCCAGCCCCTGCTGGCAAAGGAGGCGCTCCCCAGGGCGGTCCTCGGGAATCAGGGGTCTCGTCGCCACGGCCGCAAGCACCAGGGCGAGGCCCATTCCTGCCGCATCAGAGACAGATGGAGGTGGGCTGGGAGGGAGCCTGGGGGAAGAGGCGGAGGCACTGCTCATCCCGCCTGGTACCCGCCCCGCCTGGCACACACCAGGCCCAAATGTGGGTGAGAGGGCAGGAGGAGGTGCCAGGAGTGGCGGCAGGGCTCAATCAGCCCAGCGAGCGCTGGCCAGGGGCCTCCCCACCCTGGCCGCCAAGCGTGCAGACCGCGCCTGACCCCCGGACGCCCCACAGGAGCCGCGGTGAACCTGACCCTCGTCACCCCTGAGAAGGCCATCAAGCTGGCAGCCAACGACTTCTTCCGACACCATCTCTCCAAGGATGGGTGAGGGGCTTGTCTGCCCAGCCTCTGGTCAGATACCTCAGGGTCCTGTGGCCCCAGGTAGAGGACAGAGGTCAGCCCAGCCAGCGGGCTCCCACTTGGGCTCCTGGGGGGCTCTGTCATCTCCAGGCCTCTTACTCAGGCACCCTTGATCTTGGGGGGTGGCCTCTCCATCTTCCCTGTACTGAAGGGAGCAGAGCGGATACCAAGCCAGTGGGCCCTAGAATCCCTAGCCCCAGCAGCCCCTGGCCCCAGCAGCCCCCAGGCCCAGGGTCCCTGGCCCCTGCCAGCCACCCCTCGCGGGTCAGGATCTGGGGGACACCAACCAACTCCATATGCTGGAGGGCGGGGCTCCAAGGACAGCTTCTCTTGAGGCCCTCACCCCTCTGGTTCCCCATTTTTCCTGTCGCCCCACTGCTCTCCCCAGGCCCTGCCATTGGGCTCTCGCTGCGCTTGCCAGAGGGCCAGGGGCCTGATCCACGGGCTGTGTCTGCTCTGTGGCTACCAGCTGCCCCAGTGGCAGGCGTGGCCCCAGGGCGGGCGGCCCGTTCACCATGCCCCTCCCATGCAGGCAGAAGCTGACCCTGCTGAAGGAGATGCTGGCCGGCTGCGGGGCGGGCACCTGCCAGGTGATCGTGACCACCCCCATGGAGATGCTAAAGATTCAGCTGCAGGATGCTGGCCGCATCGGTAGGTGTCTGGGCCAGCGGCGGGGCCCTGTTCCCCTCGCAGCAGAGCCCGACAGCAGCCCCTCTCTTTCCAGCTGCTCAGAAGAAGATCCTGGCAGCCCAGGGCCAGCTGTCCACTCAGGGGGGTGTCCAGCCCTCGGCAGAGGCCCCAGCGGCCCCTCGGCCCACGGCCACCCAGCTGACCCGGGACCTCCTACACAGCCGTGGCATTGCCGGCCTCTACAAGGGACTTGGGGCCACGCTGCTCAGGTGGGCCTGGTGGGAGGGCAGGTGAGGCATCGCCCCCCACTGCCCCTAGGTCACCGCCCCCTCCCTTCCTCCCGCAGGGACGTGCCCTTCTCCGTGGTCTACTTCCCGCTCTTTGCCAACCTCAACCAGCTGGGCCGCCCGGCGTCCGAGGAGAAGTCGCCGTTCTACGTGTCCTTCCTGGCTGGCTGCGTGGCCGGGAGTGCAGCTGCCGTGGCCGTCAACCCCTGTGACGGTCAGTGCCCGGACGCCGGGGTGGGGAGCCCCGGGCCTGCTTCTCGCTGACCCAGGTTCCCCTCTGCAGTGGTGAAGACGCGACTCCAGTCGCTCCAGCGTGGCGTCAACGAGGACACCTACACCGGGTTCCTAGACTGTGCCAGGTGGGGCCACCCCCTGGGGGCGGGACGCAGGGGGCCGGGTTCCAGGTCTGATCCTCCCCCTCCACAGGAAGATCCTGCGGCACGAGGGCCCCTCGGCCTTCCTGAAGGGCGCCTACTGCCGCGCCCTGGTCATCGCACCCCTCTTTGGCATTGCACAAGTGGTCTACTTCCTGGGCATCGCCGAGTCCCTGCTGGGGCTGCTGCAGGACCCCCAGGCCTGAGCCAGTGCCTGCTCCTCCCCGGCCAGCTGGGCGGAGCCAGGACGCAGTGAGGGAAGCCGTCCCCCGGCCCCTCCCCAGCCTGGGGGGAGGGCACGGGAAGGGTGGGCAGGGGAAGGGTGCCGGGTCCACGCGGGTGGTGCGCACACAGGCCCTCGGGGCCGTGCCTGCACTCTTGGGATCAATGTCTTATTTATGTAGAAAACGCAGAAACCTTGACATTCCTCAAGCTAGCCCCTGCCCTGGCCTGAACTCCCCCAGGGCCAGAGCTGGTCTCTGGGCCAGGGGCCCAGGGTCTGGGCCGGGCAGGCTGGACCCCACCCCCTTGGTCCACGGCTTCAGTCTCCGAGGCCGTCCTGGTCCACACAGGGGAGCCCACACAAACCTGTTTATTGAACCTGCTGGGCCCGCAGCTCCCCGGCCCTTCCGTCCATCCCCCCGCCACTTTCTGGCCTGGGCAGGGCGCCTCTGCCTCCCAGACCCGCCTGGCGGGAGGACAGAGGTCTCTCACTCCCTCTTCAAGCTAGCAATCCCAAGCAGGAGGCCTAACTCCCAGGGCAAGCCCTAACCCGCTGGAACTTTCTGGCGGGCCCGGACAGTGTGAGGTCTGCAGGGGGGTGTGTGTGCGCCTGTGCGTGCGCCATGGGGACCAGGCCGTGTCCACCGGCCCCCAGCTGGCCCCCGTGCTGAGTGTCCCAGGCTCTCTCCTGCCCCCCATCCAGGAAGTGCTTGCTCTCGTCTGGCCCCTCCTTGCCGGCCCCCTCCCCAGCGGGCAGGAGGCCCAGGATAGAGCCCAGGGGCACCTGCTCTGCTGGGGGAGGGGCCGGGAGCTGCCCCTCCGGTCCTTCAGGGTTCGCCCACTCTCCAGGCCTGTGCAGGGGTCTGACCACACTCCAGAAGCCTGTCCTCTGCATCAGTGTTGAATCAGCGCCCCTACCCCGCCCCCGGCCATGTGATCGTGTTGGTGATTGGTCCTGCTGTGCTGGTGCTGTGTCCCCAAAACCGGGCCCCTCCAGGAGGCCCCTTCCCAGTGACACTACCCGGGGCTCGGGCCGGGCCCCCTCCCACGTCTGTACTTTGGAGCTGCTGCTGCTGACAGATTATATTTTTTTCTTTTGGAGAGTTTTAACGTTGTAACTTTTTGTGTCTTGTCATGTAAGAGGATGAATAAATATTCTAAGTAGATGCTCGCCCTACAGGAGTCTGTCTCGGGGAGAGGCTGCGGTTTCTGGGCGTCTGTCTGGGTGGAGGGAGTCTGTCTCGGGGAGGCCGCCCCTCCCTGGACGTCAGTCTTGGGGAGCCTGCCCCTCTCTGGGGGTCTGGGGGAGGGCTGTCTCTCC